AAACAAGCTTGGAAGCAGGAGTGGCATCCACTTCCGAAGTGGTTTGCCTCTGGAAACGCTATCAACAGTGCTCTGGCCTTTCACTCATAGGGTCGCTATGAGTCATCAACGACTTGACAGCACTTAACAACAACAACAACAACGATATTGTTCATATGGTACTTCTTGAAATATCTTAGTATTGGTCAGTTCTTTTTGGTACAGTGACTCTGTATTACTTCCATCTTCTTTTCATGTTTCCTGGATCATTCAAGATATTACCCATAGCATCTTCAAGGCTTGAATTTTTCATTCTTTCCTTTTCAGAAGTGCCTAGTAAGTTCTTCCCTTTATATCTTCAACCCTGCCAGCGCTTTTCACATTTTGTTATACTTTGCTTTATATTTTTGAGTTGCCTGTGAAATCTTCTGTTTATCTCTTTTATTTTGGCATTTCTTCCCTTTGTTTTGGCTTCTTGTTGCTCTTGTGCAATTTTTACAGTCTCTTTTGATGTCTATTTTGGCCTTTTCTTCCTCTTCTGTCTTTGTAATTACTTTATGCTCTCTTCATGGATGGTATCTTTGATTATCACCCCATAACTCATCTGGTCTTTGATCACAAGTGTTCAGTGCCTCAAACCTATTCCTTTTTTTTTATTTTATTTTATTATTTTTGTGTGAGTGTACCGTCAAATCAGATCTGACTGGTACAGGAGGAGATTGTCCCTCCTTTCCCGGCAGAGCATCTGGTGGATTCGAACCGTGCGCCTCTGGGATTGTAGTTGCAGCTCCTTACCACTAGGCCACCAGAGCTCCCCTCAAACCTATCTGTAGACAGTTTTTAAATTCAGGTGGGATAGACTCAAGCTTGTATTTTGGTTCTTGTGGACTTCATTTTCTTCAGCTTGTTGGAACTTGCACATGACTAATTGGTAGTCTGTTCCACAGTTAGCACTTGACCTTTTTGTTTTGGTTTGGTTTGGTTTTTTTGACTGATGATTTTGAGCTTCCTCAATGATTCTTTTCACAGATGCAGTCAGTCTTATAACCTTTGTAGCCCACTATGTGAGGTTCATGTGTAAAGATTTTTTTTTTAAATGTATCTGTAAGGAATGAATTAGTGAACATACAAAATTCAGTCATTTGATGTCCAGCCACTTTTCTGACACCAAGACTGTACTTTCCAACTACTCTTCCTTTCTCATTCTCTCCAATTTTTGCATTTCATTTGCCAGTATTTATTAATGCATCCTGATTGCATGTTTGGTCAACTTTGGACTGCAGAAGTTGGTAGAAATCCTCAGTTTCCTCCTCTTTGGCTCTAATTGTTGGTGTATACATAAACTTGATTAATAGTCATATTAACAGCTCTTCCTTGTATGTGTATGGATAATTTCCTATTACTTACAACATTAAATTTTAGGACGTTGTTATTGTTATGTACCATTGAGTCACCTGTGGCTCATAGTGACCCTATGTACAATAATAGCTCTGAACTCTGTTCTATCCTGAGTCAGTTTTACTGTCTCTGACACACCTAAGTACCCCAATTACTGTGTCAATCTATCTCATATGGGATCTTCCTCTCCTGCACTATCCTTCCACCCTTCCACGGATTATGTCCTTCTCTAAGGAGTGGTCCCTCCTGGCAACATGCCCAAAGTATGTGAGATGGAGCTTCAAAATCTAGCCTCCATCAAACTATACAACCCTACGATTACACCCCTCCCCCCCCATCCTCCTTGGGTCCTCATACATGCTTTACTAGTTCTCTTTCTACAATAATGGCCTTATACTATATTTGTCCTTCTGGGACTGAGTTAGTTCACTTAGCAAAATGCTCTCCAGACCGTCTCAAAGGGTACGTAAAGGAAATGGGAAAGATCCAGTGTTAAAAAACAATGTGTATGAACTTTGTAAGTAAACCCGTATAAAAGAAAAATTTTATTAAAAAAAATCCTTGCCTCCAAGGAGCAGCCTGGTTTCACCTTCTCCAGGACAAACCTGTTTGTTTTCCATGGTATGTTAAATACTCCTTCTCCCACACCACAACTCAGAGGTATCAATTCTTCTTCTATCATCTTTGGTCATTATCCAGTTCTCGAATGCATAGCAAGTAATTGCGAAGACTAAGGCCTGAATCAGGTGCACCTTCTTCTCCAGACTCACATCTTTGCTCTTAAGTACTTTTGAAAGGTTCCTGACAACATTTTTACCCAGACCAATTTGTCTTTTGATTTCTTGACTGCTGGTGCCATAAACATTGATTATGGAGCTGAGCAAACTGAAATTATTAACAACATTCAGTCTTTTCTCCATCCATCAAGTTGCTGCCAATTGGCTGAGAGAGTGGTGAGAATATTTGTCTTCATGATGTTGAGCCTCAATTCATATTGAAGACGAGAGTCCTTGACCTTCTGCAGCAAGTGCTTCAGTTACTCCTCAGATTCAACAAGCAAAATTATGTCGTCTGCAAAATGTAGGTTGTTGATGAGTCTTCCTCTAATCCTAATGCCACATTCCTCCTCATCAAGTCCAGCCTCCTGAATGATCTGTTCCACATACAGATTGAAAAAGTGTGGAGACAGAACACATCCCTGATACACTCCTTTTCTAGCTTTGAACCATGCAGTGTTTTCTTGCTCTGTTCTGACCACTGCTTCCTGGTCCAAGTATAGATTTCATATGAGCACAATCAAGTGTTCTGTGATTCCCGTTATTTTCAAGGTCAGTCACAATTTGTTGTGATCCACACAGTCAGATACCTTTGCATAATCAATGAAGTACAAATAGACATCTTTTTAGCTATGAATGCAACACCATTCTTCCTCAGTTTTTCATTCTAGGCATAATAGATCATGATTCACATGCCAGTTGCCTACAGTGTTGATTTTTATGCATTCCATTGAATTTTTCACAACCTCCAATTCCCCAGCATTCTATGTTCTAATGATTATGGATGCTTACAGCTGTTTCTCCTCATTTTGATTGACTTCCCATCTAGGCTCTATGTTTAATACTATATTCATCTATTGTTCGTAGGGTTTTCAGAGGTCTGTTATTTCAGAAGGGAGTGCTGGTGACCTGGTGATAAGAAGCTGTGCTGCAACCCCAAAGGCACGCAATTTGACCCCACCAGCTGTTCTGTAGGAGAAGGAATTGGATGACCAATCCTGCTTTCTAATCTGTCCTAATCTTAAATTGTCCATGGTGATGGCTTTACTCTGTGTCCTCATGTTTAGTCCACTGGTGGACCTTTCCTGAGCTGTTTGATCACTGGAGGTGTACAGCAGATTTTAAGTTTAAAATCAGGCTGATTTTTGTATGTTGATCTTGCACCCTACCTCTTTCTGAATCAGTCCGTTTACTTACTCATTTACTGCCATTGAATCAGAACTGACTCACAGTTGGCCCTCCCTCAGGTTTGTAGAGGCTGTACATTGCAAGGGGAGGAGCCTGCCCTTCTTTCTTTCCAGAGCAGTTGGTGGATTCGAACCTTGGAACTCCAGGTTGGCAGAACAACTCATTGCCACTGGGCCACCTGAATGCCTTTAGAGAATAAGAGTGGTGGTAAAGGCTGACCTTTATAAAGGTTCCTGTTCTCAAGAAGACTGGAAGGTTGTCATCTTTGATAGCCTCATCTTTTTTCCTTAAGGAATAGCTGGTGGGTGGACAGGCTGGTATCAGGCATATAAAAATCTGTATTGCTGAAGAGAGTTGTTGGATGCTTCCTTCTGGAATCGGGACGATGGAGGTGGATGCCTGCCACTTGGGCTTCTAGGCCTGTCTTGGTGAAGATGATGAGATTTGCCTGGGAACTCTCAGACCTCTGGCTTGCTGGCTTACTGGATGGGTTTCTGGGCCATTTGGGAGCAGAAGGATGCCTTTTCTGCTGCAGGAGGTCCTTGAGCCTGTGCACTAGAACCCAGAGAGGGGCCAGGCTGGACCTGAGAGTCCTCCTCTCCAGGTGCATGGCAGTGGGGTCCTGGTATGTGGTCATGATCTTCACGCTGGAGGTACAAAAGTTGAGTCTTTTCATTCTAATAACGTCCTGAGGCTGTGGCCTTGCTGGTTGAACAGGTCTTCTGTGGTACGGGCTGAGGACTGGGTCTGCTTCATTCCTGAGGGTTGTCTTTGCAGCTGGGGTTGAAGAAATGCTGCAAGAGAGCCCCTGGGAGTGACTAGCCCATAAAAAATCCCCCTCAGCCTCTGGGGCTGTGCATCTCTGACTTAATAATTAATTTGCTCTTTGCTCATTCATCGTGCATACAACTGAGTGAACGGCTTCCCCATTGTGGCCATGATGAGTGTTGAAGAGAAAAACCAAACAAGTGCTGGGGAGGGACTGGCTTCTGCTAGGGGCTTTCCTACAGAAGACTTCTGTGTGAAGACCAGGGTCTGTTTTCTCTGGAGAAGTTTGGGACCATGTAGAGGCCATGTAGAGTGTAGAGGCCCTGGGAAGGTCAGTGTATTACCGGGGCACTAGTGGGAAAGGGAGACAGATGGTGGAAAGCAGTGGGCAGTAGGATGGCCTCTGTTCCTGGAAGGGCTTCAGGTAGTTCAGAGCATTGGTTCTATTGTGTCTTCATGGGCCACTGTGCAGGGGATAGGGCCACATGGAAACGTATTGGTCCATAGTTGAGGGACCATGTCATTCTACAGCTTGGTGGCCCCGTTTGTCTATAGGTGAGGGGTCATGTTGATTTGTAGTTTAGAATGTGTCCTCTGAAGGTCATATCAGTGTGTAGCTGAGGAAGCAGTTTGTTCTGTATGTGGGGCCCTTGTTCCTTAGGTGGGAAGCCCTGTTGGTCTCTAGATTGACAGTGGTGTTAGTCCACAGGTTGCTCGGCAGTTGGGTGGCCATGTTGTTCCGTAGCTGGGTAGCTGTGTTTGCATGTGGGCAGCCATGGTGGTCCATAGGTGTGTAGGTGAGGGTCCCGTTGGTCTGCAGGTAGGCGGTCTGCAGGTGGGAGGTGTGGACTGCTGGTGGGTAGCTGTTCATGCTGTCCTTCTTCCTTCCAGAACACTACAGTTATGCGTCCTCCAGCCTCGCCCCTGGCCTGCCCCTCAGCACAGCACATCCGGCACTGCCAGCCACCTGCCATGACCTGCAGACGTCGAATCCCATCATCTCCGTTCTCCCATCAGCAGGTCACCCCTCGGGCTATGGGGGCACAGTGGACAGTGGGCCACCTGGGTACTTTCTGCCCTCGGGTGCTGCCCGACCCAATGGTGCCCCAGCTTTGGAGAGCCCTCGCATCGAGATCACATCCTACCTGGGCCTACACCATGGCAGCAACCCATTCTTCCACGACGTCGAGGTGGAGGAGGCCATCCCTGGTGCCAGGCGTGCACCCTCCACAGCCACGCTGCCCCTGCCTGGCCTCGAGGCCTACCGGGACCCTAGCTGCCTGAGCCCTGCCAGCAGCCTGTCTTCTCGTAGCTGCAACTCCGAAGCGTCCTCCTATGAGTCTAACTACTCGTACCCCTACGCCTCCCCCCAGACGTCCCCCTGGCAGTCCCCGTGTGTGTCCCCCAAGACCACTGACACTGAGGACGGCTTTCCACGGGGGCTGGGGGCCTGCACCCTGTTGGCCTCTCCCCGCCACTCGCCATCCACCTCGCCACGGGCCAGTGTCACCGAGGAGAGCTGGCTGGGCCCACGTGGCTCCCGGCCCTCCTCTCCCTGCAACAAGCGCAAGTATGGCCTCAATGGGCGGCAGGCGTCGTGCTCACCGCACCCCTCACCTACACCATCCCCGCAGGGCTCCCCACGTGTCAGCATCACCGATGACACCTGGCTGGGTGACTCCACACAGTTCACCAGCTCGGCCATTGTGGCTGCCATCAATGCCCTGTCCACTGACAGCTCACTGGACCTGGGCGAGGGCGTGCCCGTGAAGGCTCGCAAGACCACGCTGGAGCACACAGCTGCCATGACACTCAAAGTGGAGCCTGCCTGTGAGGACCCAGGCGCCACCCCACCCGCCACATCCTTCTCCTCTGAGGAGTTCCCCCCATTCCAGCACATCCGCAAGGGGTTCTGCGAGCAGTACCTGTCGGTGCCAGTGCCACAGACCCCCTGCCCCTGGGGGAAGCCCAAGCCACTCTCCCCATCGTCCTACGTGAGGTGAGTCCTGCGTGTGACAGGGAGCATAAGCCATGTGTCAGAGGGGGACCTGTATCCAAGGTTTCGGAGGCAGCGGGGTGGCCTTGAACCTAAACCTTGGGTAGCAGCTGAGCCTGCCTGCCAGCGCTGCTGGTTTTCTCAGCCTGCCTGTTTCCTTTCTCAAATTGTTGCCACCTTGGCGTTGTCAACAGATGTGCCTGTGTGAATGGTCCCCAGAGTTGGGAACAGCAGCATCCCTCCCTGAGGACAGCTCTGTGGCAGGAATCGTGCATATGTGGCCCTGGCTTGTTGTTGCTTTCCCCCCCAGTCTGCCAGCTCCAGTGAACTGGCCACTTTATTTCCTAAACTGCTCTGTCGGCAGGTCCACGTAGGGCTGGCCAGGGTGCTAATTGGCAAACATTCCCCAAGACCAGGAGCGTCTCCTGCCTCCTCTGTGGATGGAGCTGACCCCCAGGGCTCTGGGTCCTTCTGGTCAGTGCACCAGCACCCTGGACACAGGCTTCAGAAGTGCAGGCTTGGCAGCCCCCTCTTCCTCTCCTGCCCCTTTAGCCAGAGGTCTCTGGGGCAGGGTGGGGGACAGGGCAGGTTGAGGCAGAAGGGGTGCCAGGGACAGCTGGGCGAGGTCGGCCTGCAGATCAGCTCTTGTCAGAATTTGACTGGCCTTGGCGCTCCTGGTTTCTAAAGGTCGGAGCCCTAATGGGATGGCGGGTTGAGCGGTGGGCTGCTAACCTCAGAGTCTGTGGTTCAGATCCAACAGCCACTTTGTGAGAGAACAGTGAAGCAGTCTGTTTCTGTAAAGATGGCCTCTGAGCAGTTATGCTCTGCTCCTGGACGGTACGAGTTGGAATTTACCGTCATCGGCAGTGTGTTTTGTCTGTGACGTTTGCTCAGGCCTCGTGCAGTCAGCACAAGCTGGCTAGGCTGTGCCGGGACCCGATGCCCCTATTCTGAGTGTCGGGGCAGCATGGAGTGGACAGCATTCTGTCTGTATGGGCTCGTGAGAGACAGGTCGGTTCCGGTCAAGAGACAAGGTAGCTCTGCCAGCTGACTTTCTCCACTTGTGTTAGTGTCTCTGCTACTAGCCCAGCTTCCCACGTAAACCCAGCAAAGCTGCAACCCTGGCGCTGCTTCAGGACAGCCCTGGTCAGAGTCCTGAACGTGGGAATGCCCAAAGACAACTTGGAGCGGTCTGTAGAAACATACAAGTTATGTGTGCTACACTCGAGTCCTCTACTAGAGTGAGTGGGCCAGTGAGACAGCCAGTCTCCCTGCACAGAGGAGCCACACGTCCGTGACAGTTTGCCTAGATGCAATGGCCAATCACTATACCAGAGCCAGGGTGGGGGTGGGGGGTGGCGCCAGAGCCGGGGAAAGCAGTATCGTGCAGACATACAGGGCCGGAGGTGGTGTGAGAAGCGAGTGGCACAGCACTTTTTATTGAGATTCGAGTGACAGACTCAACCCTTTTACAAATGTTCACTTACCTCTCTGGTGAATGCAGGCTGTTCCTGGGGTCTGTGTGCCCGAGTGTGTGTTTGCACACTAGTGTGTGCTGGGGCACAAGCTTTGCGGCTGGATGCATAGCTGTTTTTTCTGTGTCAGGAGTTTGAGCAGTGGTCTGGTCCACATTCCACCCTTATCTTTATCTCCTGCCCCAGGGTTGTCCTCCCAAGGGGTGCTCCCCACCCTGTTCCCTGCCAGCTGATGCAGATCAGTGGTGGAGCGTCCCACAGAAGTGGCCTGTGGGCCGATGGGGCTTTTTCAATTGTTTGTTCCACATGGAAATATGTTTCCTGGTCCCTACAGTGTGTTTCCTGATGGTCACTCTACTCGGGATCGAGGGCAGTGAGAAACCATGGTCACATGAAATACTGTGCTGGTTCACCTCCATCCCATGAGCCCTGCCACTGGCCACACCTCTGACCCTACCTGTCTAACAGTACCCAGAGGGTGGAGGTTCATGAGCACAGACACAGCACCAGCCCCAGGCATTATCCACGGGGTCTTCCTGGGAGAAGGAACTGGAAGCAGCTGGAGACCACCCTCTGCCAGTCGCCTCCTAGGAGCCTGGGGCCTGATCCTCCAGCTCCTCTCTGCATCCTTTCTGTGACCTTGACATTGACACCTGCCCATCTGTCCTGATGGGGCCAGAGCAGGTAATGGCACATGTTTACAGTCTGAGGAAACTTGGTTGTGAAATGGACAGTGCAGAGTTTGGTAGAAGTTATAGTTTCAGGGTTAGCTATTTTACAGTGATTACTGAATGTTGCTGATTGTCTCCCTGAGGCTTCGGAGAATGACCCAGCCCTCAGGAAAAAAAAATCCAATTTTAAAATCTAGCACCTGGGGTGGGGTGGGGGAATCTAGTGCCTGTGGCCCTGCATGAGAAAGATGAGCCCTCTCCTCCAGTGTGATTTATAGTCTCTGTGAAACCTGCCAGCGGGTCAGTGCGGAGTTGGCTTCGACACAGCGGTGATGAGGAAGAGCGTTAGTTCTGTGAAGACCCAGTGGCATTGTCTGCAGGGAGTTGCACGTGTAGCCCAGAGGCTGTGCTTCCAGCAGTTCACAGCCACCAGTCTGCCCTGTGTGTCTTACAGCCTCGGATGGAACGGAGGCTCAGCCTGGAGTTAGTCTGACTCAGTAGCAGTGCACTTTGGAGCCATGGGTTAAGAGCTGAGCTAATGATGGCGGGAGGGCACCTTGAACCTGCCTCCACTCTGTACAAACAGGATGAAACACTCTGCACATTCACAGGTGAGTCAGGATTGACTTTATGGCAGTGAGTTTATTCTGGTGCAGAGAAACCCTTGCAGCTCAACACTTAAGCACTTGGCTGCTAACTGCAGGGCTGACATTTCAAACCCATCAGCAGCAACTTGGGAGAAAGCTCTAGCAGTCAGCTCTTCTCAAGACTATGCCAGGACAGCCTGGGCTGCCATGGGCAGTCCACAGCATGACACCTGGCAGTGACCACATTCCAGTCGCCAGCCCAGACTGTGGACCTCCTCAAAAAGGAGATGCTGACCCTATGGTGACACAAGGGACAGAGTCACCACCATCGGTCTGGGTTTCAGTGTTCCTCTTTGACGTATTTCATTAATCACAGTCACGTCCCCGAAGAGAGACAGGATGCAGTACTGGTTCGGCAGAATGTCTACGAGGCTGTGGAGTGCAGTTACTGTAATGAGTTGAGAAGCAGCAGCATATGTTGAAGATGCATTGCATCTTCCAGAGAAGGGCAGGGAGGCACAAATGTCACTTTCTACAGGCATGTGGTGGTGATAGTGACTTGTAGGGATTCCATTATCAGCTTGAAGAATGAAAGCTTCAAAGCTCAAGCCAGCTGCACCATCGTGCCCCCTTGGACATGTGTCCATGTCGGGCATGTGCTTGCCTACGTCTTTCATGTGGGAGATTGGACATTTGAAGTTTAACTCTGTTATCTGTGCCCAGTATTGTCTACAGCTTTGCTTTTAAGCAGGGGGAGCAGAAGTGGCTTCCACGTCCTAAACAATATGACTCTAGAAACTCTGTGAACTTTGAGAAATGACGATAGTTCTAGAAAAGCCTCAGGCCTTTTGTTCATAGGGTTGCTATGGGTTGTGCTCGACCCAATGGCAATCAGCAATAACCATCTTTATGGGAAGCTCCATGCTCGGCAGGTTTTAGAAGGTTGGGAGGCTTGTCCCTGTCTGCTTGCACCAAGGTTGGCACATTTATTTTACACAGAACTTTGTAAATTGAGCACTTAAGAAAATGCTCATTTTCCCAAGTGAGCACCACAGGCCGGTTGTCTTCCAGTTCAGGTCATCAGGAGCTCCGTGTCCGGGATTTCTTTCTCACATTGTTTGAGACTTTTGGCCAGCAGCTCACATGTTGCTAGTATCTCATGCTAGACACATGTCTACACCAGCACCAATCTTGGTGGCATTTTCTATACCATCATGCCAGCATTGTGCTTGAAATTAATGTGCCTGCATTAATACAGGGACTGAACACAAATACACTCTGCCATCGGAAAGCCCTGGGCACAGTCTTACCCTGGCTGAGGGCTTGGCTCCTGGCTGTCTCTGCAGGTCTGGGGTGAGGTCATGGTGGGAGACAGTGCTGCTGTGGGCACCTGAGGGCCCCCACATGGAGGACACGTTTCTAGCTTCAATGGTCACATGTAGCTGTGATGTTATCTCATCACTAGGCACAGCATCTGAGCTGGAGCACCAGGGCTCCTGTCTGACAGATGTGCCTGCAGGAGTGGCATCCCAGTGTGATGCTGCCCAGTGTGACGTTGCCTAGAGTGCTTTTGGGGAAACAGGCCGTGTCCCTCCAAGGCTGTGAGCTCCAGAAACACCCTCAGCCAGGGCAGAAGTGCTTCACTGCAGGATTTGCTCTGAGTGGCTTTGCTGTTCCAGGGTGCCCGTAGCATGACCCCTCACCATCAGGGAACAAGCTGGGCACTGACAGTGCTGTGGGCTTGGGGTGGCCTCACACTGCAGTGGAAGCAGGACTTGCGTCCCATGGCTGTCCCTGTTGTCTGTAGAAGAGCTGTGTCTGTAGGGACAAGAGGTTGAAGGAGTACTTTTTCTCCAGCTCAGACCTTGAGGAGCACCCCCGTTCAGTGAGTTTTTCTCAGAGATGGGAGAGATGGGATGGGGGCACTTGGTGTGATGAGGTGTTCTGAGACAGTGTCCATGCTTGTTCTGTAATGGTGTGTGCGATTGTCCTCTGACAGTGTCCACACTTATCGCATGATGGTGTATCTGCCCTGTCCCCTGACGTTATCCATGGTTTTCCTCTGTCAGTCATCCATATGTCCATCTGCCCATCTATCTGTCCATCCCTGGACTCATTCAGTCCCCTTCCTCACTCACCCACACATCTATCTCTTTGCTGGTTCATGAATTCACTTACTTATTGTTTATTCAGTCATTCATTTATGAATTTACTCATTCACTCAATCACACACTGATTTATTCCCTTAATGCCTGGGGCTCATGCAGTGC